GCAGCCTTGTCTAGTCCCTGATCTTAGTGGGATTGCTTCAAGTTTCTCTCCATTTAGCTTGATGTTGGCTACTGGTTTGCTGTAAATTGCTTTTACTATGTTTAGGTATGGGCCTTGAATTCCTGATCTTTCCAAGACTTTTATCATGAAGGGATGTTGAATTTTATCAAATGCTTTCTCAGCATCTAGTGAGATGATCATGTGGTTTTTTTCTTTGAGTTTGTTTATATAGTGGATTACATTGATGGATTTCCGAATATTGAACCATCCCTGCATTCCTGGGATAAAACCTACTTGATCATGATGGATGATTGTTTTGATGTGTTCTTGGATTCGGTTTGCTAGAATTTTATTGAGTATTTTTGCATCGATGTTCATAAGGGAGATTGGTCTGAAGTTCTCTTTCTTTGTCGGGTATTTGTGGGGTTTGGGTATGAGTGTAATTGTAGCTTCACAGAACGAATTGGGTAGTGTTCCTTCTGTTTCTATTTTGTGGAATAGTTTGAAGAGAATTGGTATTAGGTCTTCCTTGAAGGTCTGATAAAATTCAGCTCTAAAACCATCTGGTCCTGGGCTTTTTTTAGTGGGGAGACTTTTAATGACTGCTGCTATTTCCTTAGGGATTATGGGACTATTTAGATGGTTTATCTGCTCCTGGTTTAACTTTGGGACCTGGTATCTGTCTAGGAAATTGTCCATTTCTTCCAGGTTTTCTAGTTTTGTTGAGTATAGGCCTTTGTAGTAGGATCTGATGATTTTTTTTTAATTTCTTCAGTTTCTGTTGTTATGTCTCCCTTTTCAGTTCTGATTTTATTAATTTGGATACTGTCTCTGTGCCCTCTGGTTAATCTGGCTAACGGTTTATCTATCTTATTGATTTTCTCAAAGAACCAACTCCTGGTTTTATTGATATTTTGTATTGTTCTTTCTGTTTCTATTTGGTTGATTTCAGCCCTGAGTTTGATTATTTCCTGCCTTCTACTCCTCCTGGGTGTATTTGCTTCTTTTTGTTCTAGAGCTTTTAGTTGTGCAGTCGACTTGTTAGTGTGTGCTCTTTCCAGTTTCTTTTTGTAGGCACTTAGAGCTATGAGTTTTCCTCTTAGCACTGCCTTCATGGAGTCCCACAAGTTTTGGTATGATGTGTCCTCATTTTCATTGAATTCTAAAAAGTCTTTAATTTCTTTCTTTATTTCTTCCTTGAGCAAGTCATGATTGAGTAGAGAGTTGTTCAGTTTCCATGTGCACGTGGGTTTTCCATTGGTTTTGTCATTATTAAAGACCAGTCTTATTCCGTGGTGATCTGATAAGATGCAAGGGATTATTTCAATCTTTTTGTATCTGTAGAGGCCTGCTTTGTGACCAATTATATGGTCTAATGTTGGAGAAGGTACCATGAGGTGCTGAGAAAAAGGTATATTCTTTTGTTTTAGGATGAAATGTTCTATAGATGTCTGTTAAGTCCATTTGGTTCATAACTTCTGTTAATGTCAAAGTGTCTCGGTTTAGTTTCTGTTTCCATGATCTGTCCATTGCTGAGAGTGGGGTGTTGAAATTCCCCACTATTATTGTATGAGGTGTAATGTATGTTTTGAGCTTTAGTAAAGTTTCTTTTATGTATGTAGGTGCCCTTGCATTTGGAGCATAGATGTTCAGAATTGAGAGTTCACCTTGGTAGATTTTTCCTTTGATGAGTATGAAGTGTCCTTCCTTATCTTTTTTGATTAATTTTGGATGAAAGTCGATTTTATTTGATATTAGAATGGCTACTCCAGCTTGTTTCTTGGGGCCATTGGCTTGGAAAATTGTTTTCCACCCTTTTATTCTGAGGTAGTGTCTGTCTTTGTCACTGAGGTGCGTTTCTTGTATGCAGCAAAATTCTGGGTCTTGTTTGTGTATCCAGTCTGATAGTCTGCGTCTTTTTATTGGGGAATTGAGACCATTGATGTTAAGAGATATTAAGGAAAAACGATTGTGGCTTCCTGTTATTTTTGTTATTAGAGGTAAAGTTATGTTTGTGTAGCTATCTTCTTTTGGGGTTGTTGGAAGATTACTTCCTTGCTTTTTCTAGGTTGTAGTTTCCCTCCTTGTGTTGCCATTTTCCATCAATTATCCTTTGAAGTGCTGGGTTTGTGGGAATATATTGTGCAAATTTGGTTTTGTCATGGGATATCTTGGTTTCACCATCTATAGTGATTGAGAGTTTTGCTGGGTATAGTAATCTGGGCTGGCAATTGTGTTCTCTTAGGGTCTGTATGATGTCTGTCCAGGCTCTTCTGGATTTTATAGTCTCTGGTGAGAAGTCTGGTGTAATTCTTATAGGTCTGCCTTTGTATGTTACTTGACCTTTTTCCCTTACTGCTTTTAGTATTTTTTCTTTGTTTTGTGCATCTGATGTTTTGATTATTATGTGACGGGAGGTATTTCTTTTCTGGTCTATTCTATTTGGTGTTCTGTAGGCTTCTTGTATGTTTATGGGCATCTTGTTCTTTAGGTTAGGGAAGTTCTCCTCAATAATTTTGTTGAAGATATTTACTGTCCCTTTAAGTTGGGACTCTTCATTCTCATCTATACCTATTATCCTTAGGTTTGGTCTTCTCATTGTGTCCTGGATTTCCTGGATGTTTTGAGTTAGGAGTTTTTTGCAGTTTGCATTTTCTTTGACAACTGTGTCAATATTTTCTACCGTATCTTCTGCATTTGAGATTCACTCTTCTATCTCTTGTATTCGGTTGGTGATGCTTGCGTCTATGACTCCTGATCTCTTTCTTAAGTTTTCTATTTCCATGGTTGTCTCCCTTTGAGCTTTCTTTATTGTTTCTATTTCCAGTTTCAGATCCTGAATGTTTTTGTTTAATTCCTTCTTTGTGTTTTCTTGCATTTCCTTAAGGGATTTCTGTGATTCCTCTTTAAGGGCTTCTATCTGTTTACTTGTACTCTCCTGTATTTCTTTAAGGGAATTACTTAATTCCTTCTTATAATCCTCTATCATCATCATGAGAAGTGATTTTAATTCTGAATCCTGCTTTTCAGGTGTGATGGGTGTTCAGGGCTTGCTATATTGGGAGAACTGGGTACTGATGATGCCAAGAAACTTTGGTTTCTGTTGCTTATGTTCTTGCGCTTGCTTTTCGCCATCTGGTTAACTCTAGTGTTGCCTGCCCTCACTGTGTAAGACTGGAGTCTGTATTTCCAGTTATCTTGCTTGTTGCAGAGCTCCTCAGAGTCCAGATGTCTCTGTAGTCTTATGATCCTAATCTTGGTGTCTGCTGCTCTGAGTGCAGTGGCTCCTCGGCTGCTCTGAGTGCAGTGGCTCCTCTAGGATGACTCAGGAGTCAGTATCTCCTCAGGACAGGAGTAGATCAACTCAGTGTCAGCTGCTCTGAGTGCAGTGGCTCCGGCTGCTCTGAGTGCAGTGGCTCCGGCTGCTCTGAGTGCAGTGGCTCCTCTAGGATGACTCAGGAGTCAGTATCTCCACAGGACAGGAGCAGACCAACTCTGTGTCTGCCCCAGCCCACAGGACCAGGCAGGGGAGGAAGGGTGGCTCTGGGATTTTAATTTGATAGCTTGTGGTATCTGGTAGGAACACTATTGCCTTTGTAGGTAACTCCATTTTAACTCATGTGCCTGTGTATGTGCATGTGTGTGTATGTATGTGCGTGCGTGCGTGCGTGCGTGCATGTGTGTGTGTGTGTGTAAGCTTCTACAGTATTTGATTTCCATAGGACTTTTAAAAAATGTCTTTATCCCCCCCCCTTCCCCTCTCCCTCTTGCTCCAGCCCCACTTGCTCCAGGCCCCCTAAAAAGGTCTTTAGTTATCTTTCCCTATATTCCCTCTCTACTCTGCCGTTTTGTTCCCCCACCCTTCAATTTAACCTTTCCTGTTTCATTATTCCCCTTTAACCCTTTATGTCAGTGTGTTCTATGAACACTATAGAAGTACTTCTGTAATCTTTCACCTTTCACACTGAACACAAAGCTGGCTCATCAGCCCATTTTAAGCAACTTATCAGAATATAACTAAGATGATATTTTGTGTCCTATATAATTTTTATATCATATAAAATAAAAAAAATTCCAGGTACATTATTCATTACTAGGTAACTTTTTATAAATTAAACTGAGTAAATCACTGTACTAAGAGAATCCTGTACATATTAACCTCATTAAGATTTTTTAATTGACCTCTAATCCCAGCACTTGGGAGGCAGAGGCAGGCGGATTTCTGAATTCAAGAGTTCGAGGCTAGCCTGGTCTACAAAGATTTTTTAATTGATTGGATTCTTATCAGTTTAGAAATTCTTTTTTGCATTTTACTCTTAAAGTTTGCTATCCTGGGATTTTTCTTTATTTTCAATTATGTGTATGTGTGTATGTGCTTGTATATCTGTGGAAGTGTGTGCATGTTAGTGCAGGTATCTGAGGAGATCAGAAGATGACCTATCCAGAGTTACAGACAATTGTGAGAATCCTTGCCCAATGAGAACGTGGGCGCTGGGGATTGAACTTGGATCTCATGTGTATAGCACATGCTTTTAACCACTGGGCACTCTCCCCAGTCTTCCCCCTGTTAGAGTCCCCACGTGAGTGTTCTAAGAAGATTTCTCATTTGTAACATATCTCCAAGTCTGTCATACTTCATCTGGTCATTTATGCACAGCAGTGGCTTCAACCTTCCTTGGGCCAGCATGCAAGCACCTGAGCACAATGAGGGGCTTGTGTGTCCAGCAGAGCCGCAGCTGTGCTCTGCTGTGCTCAGCTAGATGCTGGGCTGCAGCCTGGGTTATCTTCCAGACCTGCTCTCCAGTATCAGGGGAACTGGAACATGGTCTTTCCTAGGAATTCTATATCTTGTACATCAAGAAGTGGTTGGAGGCTGGGAATCAAGTTACCTGTTTTTTTTGTTTTGTTTTGTTTTGTTTGTTTTTTGTCTTGTAAAGGGCAGACATATCCATGTATGCTAACACCAAGGGCTTTGTCTTCTGTCCATCTTTGCTCTGCAGGTGACCTTTATGGAGCCATAGGCTCTCCAGTGAGATTGACTCGCACTGTGGTGATTGGGAAGCAGAAGGACTTGGTCCAGCGCATTCTTTATGTTCTGACCTACTTTCTCCGTTGCTCTGAACTGCAAGAGAATCACCTGACTTGGAGTGGGAATCATAGTGAGGATGACCAGGTTATAAATGGGAGCAAGATCGTAACCGCCTTGGAAAAAGGAGAGGTGGAAGAGTCTGAGTATGTGGTAGTTACAGTGAGCAATGAGCCTGCTCTGGTACCGCCAATCCTACCACCAGGGACATCTGAGAGGAGGAGCCCTGAGCCTACAGTAGTAGCTGAGATCCCAGAAGGCATCAATACTAGTGAACTGGGTCACAGACCTGAAAAACACAGGTGCAAGAGCCCAGAGCAGAATTCTGAGGCCAGTAGCATGGGATTCCAAGAGGCAGAACCTGACAGTTCGTGGACACCTCAAAGCATATTCTGTGAGGACAAACAGAATGACCAAGAGGCAGTCCAGGATTGTTCTTCAAGACCTCCCAGCTGTGAGGTGCCCAAGGTAAGAAGAAGGATGGACCAACAAACCTTCCGTGTGGAGCTGCCTGGGGAGATGCTAAAGAAAGAAGCAGAGTGGTCAGCAGCCTGGCCTTGCCCTGACAGACATTCCCAGGAGGATCGTCCTGTTGAAAAGGTCACTTTCCACATTGGAAGTTCCATCTCCCCAGAGTCTGACTTTGAAAGCCGCACCAAAAGAATGGAGGAGCGGTTAAAGGCCTCTGGACATTTTCTTGGGGCCAGTGCCTCTGCCAGGTCTAGTATGGACACTGGCCTGACTCAAGACCAGCAGGGCTCTGGGTGCTCCTTCAACGCTGATTTTCAAAAGGACATCACACCTCAAGACCACTCTTCAGGGGGGGAAGGTGTCTCTGAGGACAGAGGCCTCCGAGCCAACATGGGACATACTGTGGGACAACTTAGCCAAGTTGGTGGCCCCCTTACACATTCAATTCGTGCAGCAGGAAGTGGCCGGACACTGCCGGAACAGACTAGAGATGTGCAATTAAAAGGCGACAAAGGACCTTCATCAGAGCCTATTTCAAACAGATGTAGACAGCAGGGTGGCCTGCTGATTGCTACAGATGTCCCCTGTGGGGATGCCAGTGGTAAGGCCAACTACAGGAGCGAAGGAGACATTCCCAGGAATGAAAGCTTGGATAGTGCTCTTGGAGACAGTGATGATGAAGCGTGTGTTTTGGCCCTGCTAGAACTAGGTCACAGTTGTGACAGGACTGAAGGGTCCTTGGAAGTGGAACTGCCTCTGCCAAGGTAACACTGCACAGGGAACTGTCCATAGTCTGATGCTGTAACCATGCTGCCACTCGTGATCACTTTATATGTATGCAGCATGTGGTTTTCTCTTAAATATCAGAGGTATCAACACTTATATTCAGGGGTTTCCAGCCTGTCTGATCTCCATGGATGCTCACCATCTTGGTGCAGCTAAGTTCTTGGACAGAGGATGGTGGTTGTCTTTGCAGCTCTTGAGACATTTGGGGGAGTGAAGAGCACAATGGCTTTGCTTGCAGGGAGGAGAGAGTTCCTCATGTCTATGTAATGTGTATGGCTGGCTGTGGGTGTCTTGCTTCTAAGGTAATGATAGATCACATTCCCTGAGGCTTCCTTCCTGCCGTTCAGCCTCTTTATTCTCTCTCTGTCGGGTTGTTTTGGTCCGTGAAGACTGAAAGTTGCAATTAGAAGATTCCTTCTGTTGGTCTTCGCTGTGGTGGACACTGCTCTCTGTGATAGATTCATAAAGCCATGCTTTTGGCACGATGATCCCCTGCCTCCTCCTTCTCCTTCTGACCATGACTTTCTGATACATGTTCAGTATGATGTATAAGAATAGCTTCCTAAGTTCTTAGACAAGTCTCACTATGTAGCCTAGGCTAGCCTTAAACTGAGGACAGTTACCTCCACATCCGGCTTAAAAATGAAGTTTTAATTAGCTATGGAAATAGTATATTTTTTCAGGTTTCCATTTTAATAAAAATTGCTTTATTTTCTCCCAAATCCCCTCTTTTCTCACACTTATGGTCTTACTAAAGGACCCTGATACGAACCACAGGAAAACTATATATTTTCTTGTGTCATTGGAGATTTTGTTTCCATTGTAATATTAAAAAGTGTTTACTTTTTAGCTATGTGTTTAATATTTCAAATGTTGTTTTAGGTCTCAGAGCACCAGCAAGCCAAATGTTAGAAATTTTGGCCGCTCACTTCTGGCAGGTTACTGCGCCACGTATATGCCTGACTTGGTGCTGCACGGAACCAGCAGTGATGAGAAGCTGAAGCAGTGCCTGGCAGCTGATCTGGTCCACACGGTGCATGTAAGTGACCAGTGTAGAACCACAGGATGGCCAGCAGCAGGCTCTTCAGAGTACACTGAAGGACACAGTGACAAGACAGCCAATGAGGTCTAATTAAGAGTCTAGGGACTCTGTGAGCATACCTGGGCCAGACTCAGCAAAGGAAAAGCAGGTAATAGCAGAACTACAGAGTCCTGGAGCAGGAAGAGGGACTGCCTGTCTGGGGACAGTGAGGAAGGTGGAGCATCTGGCTTCCAGTTCTCTCCTCCATCCTCCAGTTTCTTCTGCAAAAGGCCAGAGAGCAAGGGAACAGCTAAAGTACAGACCTCCAATTTTCTAGAGAGGTCAGCTTCCTAGAGCCAGAACAGGATGGGTAGAGTAAAGTAGGGGATGAATGGCTGTGGGCTGGCCTGGCAACATAAATTGACAGATGGTGAGTGACAGTTATATCCCTTCAGAAAGAAGACCAAAGAGATGTTGTGTATGGCTTGCTTTTTATCCAAACCTTGCAAGTTTCTAAAAAGCAATTACTTGAACTGATTTGTCATTGAGCTCACTTTGATAGCCTGGTGGAGATGGCTGTAGAAAGATTTACAGGTATTACTGGAAAATTGCCTGTAGCTACTGCTAAGTGCTTTTCTGTTATCTACAGCATGACAGGAGCTGAACACTTACAGAAACTGTGTCAATCTGATGGACCTGTTTTTAATTGTGCTGCCGTTGGGCAGATGTGCAAGCGTAGCTGTTTTGCGATTAGAAACATCTTGTGCAATAGGGAGAATCCTTGTTGCCTCATTAAGATTGTTGGAACCTGGCTTTGTTATCTCCTTATTGCACACTTTTTGTTTGTTGAGGGGAAGGGGTTTTGCAAAGTAGAAAAGAAGGCATTGTAGGTTATCTTTGGCCTTGAACATCCACCCAGATACAAAGCAGACACAGGCTAAACAGGCTAAGGATGCTTGTATGAAATACGAAGAAGGGCTCGGGTGGGAAGCAGAGATCAGGATCCTGTGCCCCATAGAGGTAAAGAGCTGTAGAGAAAGTACCTGGGATCTGGGTGGGGTCCACCCAGCATACATGTGCTTACCCAAAAACGCCTAGTCCCACACGCTTTGTCATCAGACACCATCCCTTGAAGGAACAGTCCTGGAATAAAACTGTGAGGTTTCTGTTATCTACAAGTAACTCACAGTTCCCTTTATTCTTATCACAGATACCACACACTTGCTCTTATCATTTCAGAGGTTGGGTCATCTATCCATCCCATAGTATAAGCACAGGGCCCTCCTTGCATGATGTCATCTTTCTACACTGTCCTAAGTGTGGCTGTCCTTTATGTGTTTAGTGTGTGTTGGGACATGATAGGACCCTGTGTTGTGTCATCATCACCTCCTGCCTGTATCCGTATATGCGGAGCCCTTGCAGTTTGCTTTCAGTGGTGCTGCTGGTTTGATTGCCAAGGATGCTGGGTTTGCTTCTTGCACCTTTACTCCACCAAGCCAGAGTGCTGCTCCTGACAGAGGCTCAAATAGACTGTAGGAGCTCACAGGGCTGCCCTCAGTGATACTGAGCTCACGAGCTGCTGCACATTTGTCCTGAAGTGCCCAGAGTCACTTACTAACTGCCACAGAAAAGCAGTGTCCTGATTGATAACCACATCCAACTTAGCTCTGACTCAACTCAGGAAATTTTGACATTTGTTTTATAGGTCATATATTTCTAATTTCTAAATATTTGATTTTCATTGTGACCGTGTAGCTCTGTAATTCTTATATTTGAGAAAATAGCCATGTCTACATTATCATTCCTCTGAGAGCTTTTCTGTGTTTCATTTTAAAAACTATTTTTTATTGGATATTTTATTTATTTACAGTGCAGATGTCATCCCCTTTCCCCATTTCTCCTCCCTAGAACCTCCATCCCATCCCCCCCTCCTTTTTGCTTTTATACCATTAAAAATAGTATTTTTACACTGTATAAGCTCTCATTTTTTTTTCTTAATTTCTTTTTTATATTTTTTTCAAATCGTAATTTTTACTTATTCACACAGGGGTTGTAAACACAAAAAGGCAGGACGTGGGGAAGGGGATGACACTGGGGCGTGGGTGTTCAGGGGGAATACAGATATCTTTCAGAACAGGGTATCGGCTGGGTGAAGGTTCAGGGGACAAGTTGCTATGACTCTGTCTATGATTCACTTGTCCTTATCTAAGTTGGTATTATATGCCAAGGCTACCTATTTACAAGTAAATAAACTATGACTACTCAGGCTAGTAAATTTCCACAAAAGCTGCCTGTTTACAATAGCTTATAGACATCTGTTTCAATGTTATTCTACAGAGACCCAAGACTTGGTGTTAGTATACATGTATGACAGGCCTATTGCTGGTTTTAGGCCTATGGCTGATTTTAGGCCTTCAGTGTATAAGCAGGAATGCCCCTGACAGTTCCTCCCTTCTCTAAGTATAGAAGGGCTGTGGTGATTCCAATCTTGAGAAGGCGGGGATAGAGGCCTGACCTCCAGTAATTGAAGGATACCTTGTAATGGCTCCGGTCCCCCAGTTGTTGTCCAGTGAGGCATGAGGGCGATACCCATCCCGATGTCTTTTTCCTGGAGAGGGGATACTTTCAACATCAACCCCTATGCAGTCAGGCTTGTCCCTCAGGGAACCCAGAGAGATATTTTTAACTTTTATTGATACTTTTAACTTTTATTCCCTTGCAGTGATTAGCCTCACAGCCTAAGCAACAATTCAGATCGCCAGTCAGAGGAAGTTCTGGGTGGTCCCTCTCTGCTTGGTCTAGGGGTGGAAGTCCCCTCTTTTAGGTTGGGTGGAGATGGGTTTTGGGAACACCCTGGGTAGAGTAACAACCTCATCTTGAGTCTCGTGGTCCTCCATAGCTAACTTATGATAATGTATCTGAATAGGTTTTGCTACCAAATAATTTATCTGTTGTTTCACAAAGTTAGTCAGCCTATTTGAGGCCCAGGGACCAGCAGAAATAAGCAAACATAACCCAATTAATGGTCCCAAGATGGGAGGAAGTAGGGTTGACAACCATGGAGAGGCTGAAAACCAATTCTTGTACCAGCACTCATCTTTCTGACTTTTCTCAGGGCCTTCTCTGACCTTTTTCATGCTCTCTTTAACCATCCCTGTCTTGTCTATGTAAAGGCAATATTCTTCTTTAAGGGCTGTACACAGTCAAGAGCTGTACACAGCCTTATCTATTGTAATAGAATAAATCAAGTCCAATAAGGATCTTTGCAATTTTTGGGAGGTCTCTTCAGACAGCGAAACAAGGGTTTTCTTCAGATTAGTGATGTCAATCTCTAGCTGTTTGATGTTCTTGTCAATGGCCCTTCAAAGGTCTGAGTAGTATAAGTTCAGAGGCCAGCATCTGGATTAGAACTTCTATCAGCAGACATCACGGGTAATTCATTTTTACCTGAGATACTGCCCAAGTTAAAGCTCCTGGGAGGCCTTCTTCCTCTGGGTTTTGTGAGGTTGGGTACAGAGCTGCCGCCTGAGATCTGCTCTATGCTCGGCCCCCCTCTCATTTCTTTAGACAGTCATCTTGAGAGGTTAAATTTTATTAGGCATACTAATTTATTTCGTGTGGTGTGACTGCTTACAAAATGCAATCATGTGCATGGTGTTATAGGAAATTGTGAAACTGTCTTCAAGTTTTAATAACTTCATGATATGTCCAGTTAACATTAGTAGATTTCCAATTTCATTTAACAAACTCATCGTCACGAGTTTTGCATTTGTTAGTGAGTTTGTTTGTCTGTTTGTTTGAGACAGACTCACTGTGTTGCCTCAAGCTCTAAGTGGTCCACCGGCATCTGCCTCCCCAGCCCTGGGATTATAGTGGGGCGTCATCATGGTAGTCCTGAGTTTTGATTTTGAACTGGAGTTTCATGTGGACTGCCTCTCTGATTCACACTCTGGTCTGCAGCAACGCTGTTCCGTCTTTACTTTAAAAGACACGTAGCTTCCGTTTACAAGTACTTGGGAAATAGGGGTGTTTTCAAAACATTGGTGAATTAACCATTCATAAGGGACAGTGATTTTCTGAGCTGAGAACATTGTCAGGAAAAGAAGCAGAGATACAAGAGCTATGATGCGTGGCCTCTGAGCGCTGAGAACTTGTGGGAGAGAAGTAGGGTAGGTCCTGTGCACCACTTGCTTTCACAGCCTGATTTGGGGGTATAAGTAATTTCAGCCTCATGCCAGGCTTTGGGGCTTGTAATTCCTTTTAAAGAAGGATTTTTGAATAACTTTGTAAAAGCAATTGTTGTAAGTATTGTTTTTGTTTTTGTTTTGACTTATACATGGCTTAGATTAATCTGGCTTTATAAATATGCATTGTATAATCACAGCAGACTAGTTTTCTTTGGAGCACAAGGAAATTTCTTTCTAGAACATTCAACATCAAGAGTATCTTTTCATTCTTTTTGTTATCCTAGTCTCTTACAAAAGAGATCTTTTGCCGTTTACTTTCATGGCTTTCATCGCGTTTCAAACACTAGGACCAAGGTTTTCTCTCGGTGTTTGGCACATGCTGTTTTTCAGTCTGATATTTGAACTCTTTCCTCCTAATACATATGACTGAGCTGCTGTAACAGTCCAAGGTAACTTTTCCCATCAATTAAAGGTAGACTTTCCTTCCCCTTCCTCTTCACTGAATGGAGAGGGGACATGTACATGAGCCAGCAACACTTTGATCCTGTGACCCTCAGGCAGCCTTGTCTGTCTTCTGTGTCTCGTCTGCCAATGAGTGCTGCCAGCTAGGCAGTGTTGGTGACCAAACTGAAGGCAGGGGATGGTGACAGACCAACTGGCTTGACTCTGAGTCCTAGTGTCACTACTCACCGAGACTTTCAACTACGTCAGCTAACATCACTTAAACCTAAGGATGATTTTAGAGGACACAAGAACAGGGAAACTGATGCAGTGGATAAGAGTCTGCTTTTCCAGGTTGGGGAGAAAGCTCAGTAAGAAAGTGCTTGCCAA